AATAGTTACTTGAACAACTATCGAACTATTTGTTAATTATTTGGTTCATTTCCACCCCTATGTAACCATTCAAACATTATATTGCAGATCATTTGATGGCGTACTTCTTAGATGCTTATCATTGAGTGAAGCCTAAGAGAGGCTCAAAGAAGCCCACGATGACAGATGTGTAGCTCATCAACCCAGTCCCAAACTCTAAGACCGACTTCGTGGTCTAGGCTATTATTGACTAATGATGATTGCAAATGTGGTGACCTATGCCAAGCGATATTGTGCATGTTAATATTATGCTGACTTCCTACACCAACCCTAGAAGAGTTACTACCAACCATCAACTCATGGCGTCCACCAAAGGCTATTGGTTCATCTTAGCTGTCACTAACTACTTTTCTAGGTGGGTCGAAGCCATCCCGCTCAAGAATGTAAAGACTTCTAATGTGGTCAAGATCCAAAAACATCACATCGTCTACCAATCTGGTATCCCCCCGAATGATCATCCATGAGAATGGTCCATAATACATTAGTTAATTGTTCTTTAAATTTTGTGACAAGTACAGAATCCAAATCTACCCATATAATTCGACTGCTAATGATCTAGCTAAAGCATTCGATATGACTATCATCAAACTTCTCAAGAAGTTCATCTCCTCCAACAAATGTGATTAGATCGAGAAACTCAGAGAGTGTTTTGGGCCTATTAAACAACGGTTAACACCCCACAGGCGCTACACCCTTCTCCTTGGTGTACAGTTGCGAAGTTGTTGTGTCGTTCGATATTATAATTTTGTCATTAAAATCGCTTCTACAGAGAAGATAACAATTGAAGAAAACCATCGAAGGCATCTTCAAGAGCTTGAGGCACTGGATGAATTGAGACTCACAGCTCAACAATAAATCGAAATGTACAATCTTGAATATCAAGAGCCTTTAATAGGAGAATCAGTGAACGATCCTTTGAAGGAGACCTAGACTTAGCCATTAGTCGACCCATGGTCATGACACAGAAAGCTAAATGTAAATTTTATCCCAAATGGGAATGATTGTATATAGTAGAGACAGTCTACTCAAATGGAGCATACCACCTGATAAATCCAAATGGTAACATGCTTATGGTACTAATAATTAGGAAAATTTTCAAGAGATATTACCCTTAAATTGAGCCTTTTCTCACATTCACATGGAGTTATTGGTCGTGTTTAAGTTTTCATCTTTGACCATGAGAATGAAATCTCAAACCAAGAATCACCAATCTTAACAAAATTTCTTAGTGAGTTATCAAGTTAACACCACACATCTGCTTAACCCTGGGTATCATTTGCCGTCGTCATGTTCACATTACACCTCTAAACAGCTCACATATCTTTGGACTAGACTAGTTAACACTAAACCTCTGTCGGTCCCTCCTTTGAAATTGATTAGTTACCATTACACTTCTATCGATTCCTCGTACCATTAAATTAACATTATACTTCTAAATGATAGTTGTTCCTTGGACTTCCTTGAATCTGACTAGTTAACATTACACCTTTCTCAGTTGTTTCATTTAATATGTTAACATTACACATCTATCAAATTCCTCAATATTATTGTGTTAACACCACACCTTTGGACAATACGCAATTCACATTCTTGATATGTTAAATATTACACCATTATCAGTATGATCCCATCAACTGATAAACACTACACCTCTATTGACTTCTTTACACGAGTTGAATCTTACAAGTCAACCATATCTTTCCCATGGAGTTGTTAGTGATTCTAAATTTTATATGATACATTAACATTACACATCCATTGTTCACCTAGGCGCAACATGAATATAAACCAAAAATCATGGCCATACCAGCTCACACACGTCAAGTGTGCTCTTTAGAGCTTCCTCACTCAGGGCCTCCGAATCACTAGGCACTACTTGTGCCTCAGCAACATCCAACCTAGCTCGCTCCATCCATAGGCGTTCCACTTTACGAGCTCACTCAGCAACTAACTCTATGGACCTAGCCTCAAGTTCTTTCTTCTGCTTCTCGGTCGTCTCCAATTTGGCTTGTACCTCAGCTATAATAGCCATGGCTTTGTCAATCATAGCCTACCTATAAAAAATTACATTGGCGATTTCAGCATTCTTGTCAATTGTCATTAGTCACAACAAGGTGAATAGTTTATTCTAAGAGACTTTGGCTAACTTCTTCTATCTCCTTACGAGCGGTCTCTTTAAGCCTATGACATTCTACTAAGAGGTGATGAAATCAACCTCCATGACAGTGGTGACAAAGGCCTCACGGAGATTTTGTAACTCTAGAAATGGAGATCAACTTAGTCAATTATTCTGTTATAAGGCTAGGTACATTCAATTCTAGTGGCAGACACAAGAACATGAAGCTGATTCCACAACAAACACTTAGCGCATGATGATAAGCTCTTTACCAGCCGTCCAAGCACTCTCAACACTTCAACTGAATAGCTACATTAAGCTCTCAACCAAGATCTGAATCTTTGACTCTGCAGAGTTATCAGAGTCCGAAGATAGTGGAGCTGCCACTTGCCTTGATGAGCCCGCCCTAATCATAATGGCTAAAGTCTTAGTTACTATAGGAGGCACAATTGATGTCATCTTACGTTGGCCCCCAACTAGCATAAAGAACAGAGTGAGGAAGGACAAAATGCTCAAAATATCAACCAAGGTAGAAGAAGTGAGAGTCATCGTAGCCAAAGGCTCAGAGGGTCATATGACCAATTCTATCATCATAGCCTTGACCATAAGCTCATTGTAAATAGCAGTAGCCCAAGTTTTTGCTTCTACAAGCTTCTCTACCACTGCTATAGGTTCCCTCTCGACTTGAGGTTCATATATTGGCTTGACACACATCTCAACTTCTTGGGGGAAATGGAGGGATTGGTAAATCTTTGTCAGACTCTAATGAGTCTTTGATGGATATAAGATGCTTGGCCACTAGTTTGGCAGTGGAAGAAGGTACGGTCATTGTAGTACCAATTTCCTACTCGGGTTCAATATCTAAAAAGAAAAAAGAGGAAGAATTGTTAATCGTCAACTTGAAATGGCTATATCATTCTTGTGGATGAAATCATACCTGGGATATAAGTGTTGGCTTTCAATAGGATCGGCCTAAGCTTCTTAATTTGCAAACACAAAAGAAATATTGGCTTCAAGTGGCCGAATCTTGATGGTAGTGTGACTGCAGGAATTAAACAAGCAGAACCTTCCTTTGTATTGGCCGAAAGAAAAAAACAGAGGCTGTACTCGTTTACAAACCAAAACCGAACCTGGGAGCCTTTTTTCTGGGACCGAACAACAGCAGCAAACAGAGATCCAGTTCTCTGTTTTGGAAGATGTACACAGGCCGAAATTTAAGCAGGAGGAAATCTTAATGAAGTTTTATTTTCGTTCTTTTAAACTCAACAATTGTTTACATATATATAGGATTAAGATCACAACTCTAATCTTATCCAATAACTAGAAACCTATCTACTAACTAGTATTCTACTCTAATTAGAATTCTACTAACTAACAATCCTTGGACTGATTACAACTCACATTCTCCCCCTTAATCTGGACGAGATTCCAAGTCCCTTACTCCTAGAAGTTCCCGCATCTCGATGAACTTCACCCTTGCTAGTGCCTTCGTGAGAATATCCGCTCGCTGCTCGCTCGTGCTCACGAACTCCACTTTAATCTGTCCTCGCTCTACACACTCACGAATGAAGTGAAAACGTGTGTCGATATGCTTGCTTCTTCCATGGAAAACTGGATTCTTCATCAAGGCAATCGCGGACTTGTTGTCGACGAAGAGTGTGACCGGCTTGGGCTCACTCCCAATCACCTCGCTGATTAAACTCCTCAACCACAAACCTTGGCACGCTGCTGCAGTTGCCGCCATAAATTCTGCCTCGCAGGATGATAATGCCACCGTCTTCTGCTTCTGTGATGTCCAAGTGACCAAGCTGTCACCTAGATAAAATGCCATGCCGCCTGTGCTGCGCCTATCATCAACATCTCCCGCAAGATCACTGTCAGTGAATCCCACCAACTCTTCATTGCCTCGACCTCGTTTGTACACCAATCCGTAGGACATAGTACCCTTCACGTACCTCAAAATATGCTTGACAACCTGTCTATGCAAAACTGTAGGGTGCTCCATGTACCTACTCACAATCCCCACGGCATATGTGATATCGGGTCGGGTGTGAGTTAGATACCTCAAAGATCCGATAATGCGTCTATACTCCGCCACGTCCACCAGTGTTCCTTCGGAATCCTTTCCAAGCTTTAGCTTTGTTTCCATAGGATATTGCGTCGGGTTGCAATCCATCATGCCGAACTGACCCAAAACCTTCTTCGCATAGGCCGCCTGCCTTAGTGCACTCCGTCCAGTTAGGTGATCTTTCGACTTCATCGGCGCTCCATTCCCACTCTTTTCCTTCCTCGAACGCGACGTCTCTGCTGACATGAATTCTGCCGTGTTGAGGGTCGTAGAGGCGATGCGCTTTGCTTCCTTCTTCTACTCCAATATACACCATTGGTGTACTCCGGTCGTCGAGTTTCTTGTGCGAAGGACCTGCAATCTTCACATGCGCCATACATCCAAAAACTCTCAAGTGTTCTAGGTGGGGTTTCTTACCAAACCAAGCTTCGTAGGGTGTGTGGTCGTGCAACGCCTTGGTTGGTAGTCGGTTGAGGATGTACACCGCGTGCCTCACCGCTTCGCCCCACATGGTTCCAGGCATATGCATGCTCTTAAGTAGGCTTCTCGCCATGTCCATCACCGTGCGGTTACGCCTCTCCACTACACCGTTTTGCTGCGGGGTGTACGGTGCAGTGAGATGACGCTTTATGCCGTAGTCTTCACAAAACTTGGTGAACTCCTTTGACAAGAACTCGCCACCACGATCCGTCCTCAATGTCTTCACCTTGTGGTCACATGCGTTTTCAACCACTGTTTTGAACTTCTTGAAGGTTTCACAAGCTTGACTCTTGGCCTTCAACATGTATACCCACATCCATCGACTGAAATCATCAACGATAAGTTGGCCTTCAACATGTATACCCACATCCATCGGCTGAAATCATCAACGATAAGAAGGAAGTAGTTGTTCCCAGCAAGTGTAGATGGGGTGATAGGACCACATAGATCAGCATGTAGTAACTCCAGCGGCTTCTGAGCTCTGAAATTTGCTTGTGAAGGGAATGGCAGTCTTGCTTGCTTGGCGACGAGACATCCTTCGCATAATTGATTCGGGTGCAAGATCTTCGGCAACCCGGAAGCCATCCTCTTATCAGTCATCATCTTGAGGGCGAAGAAATTGACATGCCCAAGGCGAGCTACACCGTTTTGCTGCGGGGTGTACGGTGCAGTGAGATGACGCTTGATGCCGTAGTCTTCACAAAACTTGGTGAACTCCTTTGACAAGAACTCGCCACCACGATCCGTCCTCAATGTCTTCACCTTGTGGTCACATGCGTTTTCAACCACTGTTTTGAACTTCTTGAAGGTTTCACAAGCTTGACTCTTGGCCTTCAACATGTATACCCACATCCATCGGCTGAAATCATCAACGATAAGAAGGAAGTAGTTGTTCCCAGCAAGTGTAGATGGGGTGATAGGACCACATAGATCAGCATGTAGTAACTCCAGCGGCTTCTGAGCTCTGAAATTTGCTTGTGAAGGGAATGGCAGTCTTGCTTGCTTGGCGACAAGGCATCCTTCGCATAGTTGATTCGGGTGCAAGATCTTCGGCAACCCGGAAGCCATCCTCTTATCAGTCATCATCTTGAGGGCGAAGAAATTGACATGCCCAAGGCGAGCTGGATCGTTAATGTTCGCCATCAAACACGCCGGCTTGCAAGTTTTTAACTCTATCCTGTACAATCGGTTAGTTGAACGTGTCACCCTCATCAAGAGTGCACCGTTCCTATCAAACACCCTCAGGAACTCACCAGAAATAACAACGTTGCTTCCATCTTCAGTCATCTGACCAAGGCTAATAATGTTAGATTTCAAACTTGGAATATAATATACCTCAGGTAGTAGCCTTTGATCGCCGTTGTTGCACTGAAAGAGGATTGAGCCTTTCCCCTTGATCTCTACCGCGGATCCATCACCAAACTTGACGGTTCCCTTGATGTTCTCGTCGAGCTCCTTAAACTTGTCTCGGTGGCCGGTCATGTGATTGCTAGCTCCGTTGTCAAGATACCATGTGTTGTTGTCAACATGTGCCTCCCCCGCTGTAAGCAAATCCGGCATCACCTTCTCCTCATTAAGTAACACGACCCTTGATGATTCTTCTAACATAGCCATCATCAAGGTTGGCTCCTCGTCATATGCACGGGTGAGATGAGCCTCCTGTTCATTGTTGCGGCGTTGCTTGTGACACTCCGACTGAAAGTGCCCGTATACTCCGCAATTGAAGCATTTGATGTTGGATTTGTCTCGACCACCGCTTGTGCTACTCTCCCCCTCCTGGCGAGCTGCACCACCATGGCCGAAACCACCTCCTGGACGTCCTCCTCTGCCGCCGAAGCCGCCTCGGCCTGCCTGGCCGCCGTGCTCCCCTCCGCGGCCTCCGTGGTACTGCTGTCCGCTGCCGTGGTACTGCTGTCCGCTGCCGTGGTACTGCTGTCCGCTGCCGTGGTACTGCTGTCCGCTGCCGTGGTACTGCTGTCCGCTGCCGTGGTACTGCTGTCCGCTGCCGTGGTACTGCTGTCCGCTGCCGTGGTACTGCTGTCCGCCTCGGCCTCTTTGGCCACGGCCACGCCCACGACCGGCCCCGCGACCTCGTCCTCGACCGCTGCCATCATTGGTTGTAGGTGTTGAGAGGAAGCCTCCGCCGTTCTTCTTGCTCCTTGCTTGCCACTCCGCATGCGTCAACAATAGGTGATCGTCGACGTTGTTTCGAAAAACACGTGCCCTCTCCTCGTGGGCTTTGAGGCGCCCGATCGCCTCCTCGAGTGTCATGTCGTCGATGTCCCCGAACTGTTCAATCGTGGAGACGATAGTAAGGAATCTCTCCGGTACCGCCCGAAGTAGCTTTCTGACGACGTAGTTCTCCTCCATCTCGCCGCCTAAAGCCCGGATCTTGTTGACGACTCCTGTCAACTTCGTCGAAAAATCGTCGACGTTGTCATTCTCCTTCATCCGGAGAAGTTCGAACTCGGACTTCAAGGTCTGCACCTTCGCGTTCCTCACACGATCCGCTCCTAGATGCATTGTTTTCAACGTCTCCCATGCCTCTTTTGCCGTTTGCTTCTCTGCGATCACCATCAAAGTCTCTTCAGGAATCCCCTGGTAGATGGCCGCCAACGCCATCTGATCCTTCCTGTGTTCCACGGACGCGCCTGCCGCGGGCTCAATGGCATCCCACACGTCTTGAGCCTTCATGTAGACTTTCATCTTGATTGCCCACGAAGCATAGTTGTCCCTCGATAACATCGGATATTGAAGAGTGAGCGAACCCACCTTGGTCGTCATCTTCTCCGAACTCGTCATCTCTTCAGATCTTGGTTGGTACTTAGGCATACACCGCTCTGATACCACTTGTTGGCTTTCAATAGGATCGGCCTAAGCTTCTTAATTTGCAAACACAAAAGAAATATTGGCTTCAAGTGGCCGAATCTTGATGGTAGTGTGACTGCAGGAATTAAACAAGCAGAACCTTCCTTTGTATTGGCCGAAAGAAAAAAACAGAGGCTGTACTCGTTTACAAACCAAAACCGAACCTGGGAGCCTTTTTTCTGGGACCGAACAACAGCAGCAAACAGAGATCCAGTTCTCTGTTTTGGAAGATGTACACATGCCGAAATTTAAGCAGGAGGAAATCTTAATGAAGTTTTATTTTCGTTCTTTTAAACTCAACAATTGTTTACATATATATAGGATTAAGATCACAACTCTAATCTTATCCAATAACTAGAAACCTATCTACTAACTAGTATTCTACTCTAATTAGAATTCTACTAACTAACAATCCTTGGACTGATTACAACTCACATTCTCCCCCTTAATCTGGACGAGATTCCAAGTCCCTTACTCCTAGAAGTTCCCGCATCTCGATGAACTTCACCCTTGCTAGTGCCTTCGTGAGAATATCCGCTCGCTGCTCGCTCGTGCTCACGAACTCCACTTTAATCTGTCCTCGCTCAACACACTCACGAATGAAGTGAAAACGTGTGTCGATATGCTTGCTTCTTCCATGGAAAACTGGATTCTTCATCAAGGCAATCGCAGCAGCAAACAGAGATCCAGTTCTCTGTTTTGGAAGATGTACACATGCCGAAATTTAAGCAGGAGGAAATCTTAATGAAGTTTTATTTTCGTTCTTTTAAACTCAACAATTGTTTACATATATATAGGATTAAGATCACAACTCTAATCTTATCCAATAACTAGAAACCTATCTACTAACTAGTATTCTACTCTAATTAGAATTCTACTAACTAACAATCCTTGGACTGATTACAACTCACAATAAGAAGATCCACCTACGTCGTCTCCTCAGGCGGATTCATCAGGTTCGATGATGTGAGCATTAGTGTGATAGTTGACACTCTCTTTCTCCTCTAAATCTGTCCAGTCAAATTGAATGGACCCTTTATCTGCAAACAAGGAGTGTGCATTGTTAGATAGCTGTAGATGGTCAAAATATATTTTCACTGAGGATCCAAGAAGTGAACGCCCATGGGCTAAACACTTCGAATGGCCCCAAAGTCAAGCCCACAATAAGCTACAGTGAAGATCACCTGATGATTGAAGCGAACCTCACCAAGCAACTCATATCGAGCGAACCAGGTCAAACACTAGTCGACCCCGACAATACGCCTCACATCAAGCCGAAAGGCATCATCAGTCGGCCAAACCCAGAGTCGAATTATGAGCTAAATTCGAACTCATAGGTGAAGTTCACAAAATAACGAACTTCACCCACCTGGACTAAGTCACCCACGTCCGAAGAGACCTTCGCCCATGACTTCAGCGAACTTTGCCTAGCCTACAAAATTTGCCCAAATAGCCGTTTTAGAGCTAGTTTCAGGGCATAACCGCTCCCTACTAACTCCTACTTTAATAGTCACTTAATCCACATTTAAAGGGACCATTAAATCTCTCTTTTAGCCTATAAAAGGAGAGGAGATCATCGACTTTGGAGACATGAGAGACACAAGAGACAAGAGACACACATAGAGAGATATACACACAGACGCTAGTGCAGAGATATATACGTGCAGAGGCATACATTTTCTATTCTGTTGAGAAGTATTGCTTAGAGAAGATTGAGCTAGCTTCTAAGAAATTTGATCCTCATCAACAGCAAAAAGACCAATCATCTTAGTCGGCTAGTCAACGGAGTACAAGATCGACGCTCCACCAACACATGGAAAAGAACCCAGAAAAAAATAAATTTTTTCTTCATTTCATTATATTTCTTTTATTGTAATCTATGCCAATTACAATTCAAAAGAACTCAAAATTGGATGGTGACTCCGCTGGGGACATCCTTCTCATCCGACGAGAAGATTGTGTCGCACACCGACACTAAGACCCTTGGGTCTTTTGCTAAAATGCTGGTTATTAAAGTTGATCAAGTGAAGTTTGATGAATCAATTTCCAAGAACAAAATCTCTGCAACAACAATTGTATGCAATTGTCGTAAAATTCACCGTAGTTCGAATCTCAGGTCTGAAACGACCCCCGTGTGTGGAAAGCCCACCTTTGCCGAAGATAGTTTGGGTTGTGCTGGAAGCTAAACGAACTTTGATCAATATGTTATCACATCTGATCTCGAGCTTCAGTCTCCGATAGAAGCAAAGAATGGGGGTTATTCCTCATCCATTTTCCTTAAAGGAATAACATCATCATCCATGATTCTGCTGGAAAAATTTCTAGCCAACGTCACCATAAGCGATGTTCACATTCCAAGGCCAAAACTAGCGAAGTTAGCACCAATGCTGACTTGAGAGAATTCATAACTCTGAAGAGAGCTCGCTAGTGTCAACATAGCGCGACCCTCAGAGAAGTGATCTCGATCATTCAAAAGCGTTACCAATGCAAAGAAATAATCTTCAACCATCTTAGTCATGTTCATGAGCTTTCAGAAGTTTGGACTAAACAACGACGACTCACTCGAAGGAGAAAAATGCAATTGCTCATTGTCAACACGACAAGTGTGGCTTCTAGAGACGATGAGGAAAGTTCAGATAACTCACCTTATCTAGTATACTCTCCAGCATTGGACCTATTCTACCAGAAACCGATGGAGTATATCGCAACACCAAGCTAAGGAAAAGGACGGCTATTCCTTTTGACTACTCCTCCATCCTAATGCGAACATCACAGTCATCATCCCAGATGAATCAACCCACTTCTAGCGGATCCAACTCCGCCATATCATTGAATCCAACCCCTAGTTCAAGTCAAGAATGACAATGGGCGATAGACACGGCAGATCGAGAACACATTCTGACTCAAATGGTGATTCAGAAGAAAGATTCAGACGAACCAATCGAATAGCTAGAAGAGATGGTTAAGCAACTTCTATTAGCCTCTCATCCTCAGGCAAGTTGTTCAAAAGAAAAAAGGCACTTAGCAAGAATCCTCTTGAAGACAATCAAGAAGAGCAGGATGATGCAGACTCTGAACATGCATGGTCAGAGGCTACGCTACATTCAAAACAAATAAGGAGGCCAAAGCCCTAGAAGATATTCAAAAGTAGCTCAACATTCTTTCTTAACGAACATAGCTCAAGAAGGCTGGAATCACTGAAACTTAGCCCGTCAAATGGCATTTGGTTCCCTATCCGATGAAGTTTAAGTCACTAACGGTTCACGCGTTTGATGGAAAAGGGTCCCTGAACCAGCATATCTATTATTTCCACCAACAAACTAGAAATGTAGTGGGTAGCGATGCCATTAAAGCACGTCTTTTCATTGGCACCCTTCAGGGGGTAGCCTTTGATTTCCAATAATTCTTCCTCCTCATGGGATCAATACTTACATGCTACACATGCTGGTTGTACACTTGTAATGTTTTATAATTAGAACACATCAATTTTCGGTGTTGTTATTGTGGAAAGTACTTATATTTTGAAGAGGATTGAAGATTAAAGAAAAAGATTTGCTTCAAGAGCGGGCCAATCCCTTGCAAAGGTGAATTCTTTTTTCTATGATTTTGAATTTCATCATTTAGTTAGGATTCTCACAATTAACGAAAATTATGTAATTAAAAAGATTCTTTTGTTTAGCATAATAAAATCCAGATAAAACTGGAAGAACTTTTAAACAGGATAATAATTCAAACAAAAGCTCTCTTTCTCATATTTGTTAGTTTGTGTGGACCTATTTAAAGAAATACTTTTTTGGCATGCACTTGTAGTTATTTCTATCTCTTAATGTTGCATTTTCATAGAGTTACTAGGAATCACCAAAGTGATGTTAAGCATTTTGACTTGTGCCACACACTTAAAAATATTTCTAAAGGCAAAAGACCAAATCAAGATAAGGTAAGGGATTTCATCATCCTTTCCTTAGCTCAAAATTCACTTAATTTCTCATTACAAAAATCTAAGCCTTAAAACTCATTAGATGTTAACCAATAGGAAATAAGAAATTTTTAAGTAAATAGGTTCAAATTTACTTAACTCCATTGGTGTCTAAGGCAAGGTTTATGGGTTGCGTAAGACTCCATACAAGAAACAAAGATCTTAAATGATCTCAGACCTTCCTCTAGTCCTTCCCTTAAATGTTTAACTTGTCAAGTAAACTTGAATTTGTCTACTAAAAAAGCTTTTGGTTAGGAGCAGATCTAGTGGAGTTTAGACTTAACCTTAGAAATTAGGAGTGATTGATCAAGTTGTTTGTCTTTTAATTTGTTTAGTTAATTTTTTCATTTCTCCTTAATTTAATTTTACAAAAGTCTTTAGATCTTTTTTAGTTCTTCAAAAGCAAAACAAAAAAGTATTATTTTTAGATCTTTTTCGTAGGTTTTATAAATAAAACAATACAAAAAATGTTTTTTTAGTGTATGCAAGTTTTGATTAGTGATAATACAAAATATTTAAATTTGAATAAAAAATGGCTTATCCTGCTATGCTTTAGGATATGTGTTATTAATCATTATATTTTATTATACTTTTATGTCCTCATTATCTATTTTATTTTGAATAAAATATCTGCTAATAAGTGTTTTATCTTAATGTGCAGTTTAATGAAGATTTAATAAATAAGAGCACAAAGAACTCAATTTTCTACCTTTATTGAAGCCAAAGATCAATTCAAGTAGCCCATTGAAGCCCAAAGAGTCGAAGAATTTCAGCCAAATTCAAAATCAAAGACGTACTGATATAAGTATCGATACTTACATCGATATCAATATTGATACCAGCATTGATACCTATATCATTATTAGTATTGATATCAATATCAATACCAGTGTCAACACCCAAAAAACAGTTACAAATTAAAGACTAAAATTATTTTACTTGGGGGTTAAGTTTGATT